CCCCCCCATCCAGGTCCTCTTTCTGCCTGTGTAGATTCACTGGGAGAGCTGGCTGGGAGAGCCAGGGGTGGGCTGGGGTGGTCTTTTATAACCCCCACAGCTGTATCTATGGGGAGCCCGGCTGGCAGCTAAGCGCTAAGACACCATTACTGGCGAGGAATCCATCCCAACGGGATTGTAATTGGCTTCAAGTCATCCGTTGATTGGGCTGAAAACTGTTTTTGGCCTTACGGAACAGGAGCCGGTTTTTACTCTTTCCGTTTCGGTAAAATGGAACAAAATGAGAACCAAAAGCCTGCGGAGATTCTCCGTCATCCAGGCCATGGTTGTCCCCAAAGGGCTCTTTCAAGAGGCAACTGGATATTCTCACGTTTTTGCCTTGAAGACATTTCACTTCTCATTCCAGAAGTTGCTTCAGTTCGGACTGAACGGTGAAGCATGGAAAGGTCACGTTCCTTGCAGTCCTCTGGTTGTTAGTGCTCTCTCTGAGAGTTGCTGAGGTCAGTTGGAGGTCAGGGTCACCTCGTTCACCTTCTCAGGGTTTCAAAGAGGCCTCTCCTGCGGGAAGGTTGAACCGCACTCTCTCCACAGAGGGAGGGGGTACCGCACACCCCACCTCCCCACCTCCTCTTTTACAACACAGTCCTTTCAGCAGGTCCAGAAAGGCTCCGCATCCGTTTGCGCTCCGATCCAGGTGACCTCGAGGCCAAACCCTCCAAGTGGCCTCAACGGCTCTCGGAGAGAGAGAGAGAGAGTGCTAAAGACCAGAGGACTGCAAGGAGTATAAATCCTTCCATTCCCCACCATTTAGGGAGAGCTGAAGAACCTTCTTGGGTGAGAAGTGAAAGGCCTTAAGGAAAAGCAAAGATAATCCGGTTGCCTCTTGAAAAAGCACTTTGGGGGCAATTGGAACAAATGTGTAATAATTAGTAGTAATAATAATAATAGATGAAGAAGCTGATGGTGGAGGAAAAAAACAACAACTGGGGTGGTCTGAGGCTACCGATGCTTTGCTCAGTGAATCTCTATGGCGCCCCAATTCCTGGCTGAACTTTCCAGAAGGAACGAAGGTCAAACGCGCCCCAAGCCGAGAGCTCCCCAATCTTACCTGTCCCAAATCCTGCCCCGAGGCCTGGACCCAGCGCCCCGGTCGCAGGCTTGTTTCCAAAGAGGCTGTTTCCCGTGGCGTTGGTATTGAACCCTAGGAGAGAAGGAGGGTTGGTGGCTTTCCCGGGGCTCCGACCAGGACGCCTGCTGGTGTCCTGGGCCTCGACGGGCGGGAGGAACCCAGCCAAGTCTTCGGAGTTCAATTTATTGTCGTAAGTCTAAGGTGACCTGCAACTTACGATGTTTCTGTCTGTAACTTCAAGAAATAATACTTAAACCGGAATCCAACCCAATGTCAGTTCTATAACCTGCCCTAGCCTTTAGGAGTGCCACCTGCGTAGCCCTAGCACGGAGAAGGTGGCGCAGGGAGGGCCTGGAATCCAAGCAGGGATCCCCCGGTCCTTGTTTTCCCGATAACAAAAGCCCACAAGGCCCCTTTGCGCTGACTCTCAGGTCCGGTGTCAGGAAACTCCACTCCAGACATACAAACGAAGAGAGGGGCAACTGGCCCAACGGTCTGCTCGTCCTTCCTGGGGCCGAGCCCTCTGGCACAGGTAGCCCTCGATTTATGGACCACAACTGAGCCCATACGTTTCTCTTGCTAAGTGAGACATTTGTCTCACTTGATGACTTTTCTTGACGCAGCTGTTAAGCAAATCCCTGCATGCGTTGAATTTGCTTGTCAGACGGTCACAAAAGGGGATCAGGTGTGACCCCCGGATGCTGCAACCATAAATATAAATACGAGCCGGTTGCCAAGCGCCTGAATTTTGATCACATGACCTGGATGTACGGCAATGCTCATAATGTACAAAAAATCCACCAATTGTAAGTCACCTTTTATCAGTGCCGTTGTAACTTCAGTCACTCAACGAATTGTTGTAAGGTGAGGACTACCTTTTATATCGATAGATACCTGCCAAAATTCTTAGCAGCAGGGAGATTAAACAAGCTCGCGCTCCCAGGAGAGGAGGAGGAGATTAGCCAGTCACAAGCCCCTATTTTCAACACACAGCTGGAAAGGCAAAAATCCTGCCTGAAATTCCAGATCAGACCATCCTTGGTGACCAGGGACTCAAGGGTGGGCCACTAGGACAACTTTACGAGCTGTGGACTTCAACCCAGTACTCTGGAGCCGGCCTAGCTCGAAAAGTTGTCCTAGTGGCCCATCCCTGCCTCTGTGTTCCGAGCAGGTGAAACACAAAAGACCGGAAGAGCTCCGGAGAACTCCGTTTCGTTGCTTACCAAAAAATCCAGTTGTCGTCCCGAACGAGGGTGCGCTGGTGGTCGTGGTGCCAAAGCCTCCGGTCTTGTTACTAAAGAGAGACTGGACACACACAAAAATAAGACCGTTGTGTAACTTTTACGAATGCAAGCCCCCAGAAAAAGCATCTCTCTCTCTCTCTCTCTCTCTTTGCAATTTGTGGACGACATACAATCAGGAAAGGCAGCTAAAAAATTACTCTCTCCTTCCTGCAGGACAGCAGCCAGGCCAGACTGCCGCTGCCCTTCTGCCCCAAAACTCCCTGCCCAAGACTAGAGGAAGGAAGAGACAAGGTCTAGTTTTGGGCCAGAGCAGGCCCAAAAGAAGTGCCCTTTGCACACACACACACACACACACACACACACGGGGCAAGCAATGCAGGGGGCTGTGCAGTCTTGTCCTAGTTGGGATTCTAGTCCTCATTTGTTTAGTGCTGCTTCTTAACACTCACGAGGGAATTGTGGACAAGGATACTTCCTGTCATAAAAGCTGAGGGCCTTTGGCTAACCTGGATCACTTTTACAGGTGACTCTACCAGGAAATAAATATCGTCCTGCCTGCAAAGCTTCCTTTTTCGCCCGAGAACCGCAGCCTCCAGAACACTAAAAGGTCAGTCCACGTACCGAGCCACCGACACCGAAGCCGGTGTTGGGCTGCCCAAAGAGTCCGGTTCCTGTTCCAAACGCAGCTGCTGTGTTGGTATTGGCCGTTGTGCCAAAAAGGCCTCCCGTCTGTGTGGGCTGGGCAGCTCCAAACAAGCCCTGGGAAGGACAGGCAACGTTGAGGCAGAGCTCCTTTGCAAAGGACCCCAAAAGCAGGGGAGAGAGACCAGGAAACATGTCCCGCCCTCAAACACACACACACAGAAACCCACTCTGCTGGGGCTTGAGGTGATCCAGCTGAACTGGGCAGGAGCTGAACTAAGGAAGAACTTATGGAGTTGGGAGGGATCGTAGAGGTCTTCTAGTCCACCCTCTCCTGCTTAAGCAGGAGACTTTATAACATTTCGGACAAATGGTTGTCCAACCACTCAGGGTTGAACTGTGAGGGTCCTTGGTGCTCTCTGAGCTTGGTGGGTTTCTTGCAGACGTTTCATGACCCAACTAGGGAACGTCATCAGGGTTAACAGGGGATGGGGTTTGTGGAGAAGAGAAGGACGATGACCGTGGGGTGTTCTCTGAGCTTGATGGGCTTTTTGAAGACATTTTAGAACCAAACTAGGGAACATCCTTAGTACTGATGAAGTTAGAATAGAGAGTAGAATTGGAGTAGGGAATTGAATAGAAAATAGAATACAGAGAATAGAATAGAATAACAACTTCATTGTCACTTTGAATGTAGACTAAGCGGCATAGATTCAAGTGAAATTTCGTTGCATGCAGCTCTCAAAGGGCCACCCCCTCCAATATAAACTACATAAACACGACAAAATAAACACACGTACATTCATTCATCCAAAATTATGCATACACCCACCCATGTGATATGACACAGATAAGCAACCCCGTCCGGTCCATGAACATGGCAAGAAAAACTAACCGTGCAAGTTGCCCAGGGAACAAGGCTGTCCCAGAACCTGGAAGTCCTGCTAGAAATACTTCAAACGTTCCCTAGTTAGGTCACGAAACGCTGGCAAGGAAACCACCAAGTTCAGAGAGCACCAAGGACCCCCAAAATTCAACCCTGAGCTACAACTATTCTCGCCTATCGGTCCCTACCAGCCACCCCATGGCCGAGTGCTAAGAGGAAGGTCTGAACTATTCTTCCAGAGTTCAGTGAAAGACGGGGCAGGAGTGTCCCAGAAGTCACCGTGCCCCTCCCCCCTTAGAGCTTTCCAGAACGCGACCCTCCTTACCATCGTGTTTGTGTTGGGCTGCCCGAGGGTGCTGGTGTTGGTGAAGGAGAAGCCCGTGTTTGGGGCTGTGGTGGGCTGACCAAAAGGTTTATTGAAGAGGCTGGGCGTCTGCTGAGTCGAGCCGAAGAGACCTCCGGTTCCTGTGCCAAAACCAGTGGTACCTGCAACACAGAGGTGACCCTTCTTACGGCTTTTTGCAGTCCCCTCCTGGAACCAGCTGGGGGGGGGGGGTTGTCGAAGCACCCAGAGGGTGTGGGCTCCAAACAGCAGCCCCGCTGGCTTGCCCTCCCCTCTGCTTTGGGACTTCTGCCTGGAGAAATTATCTGGTGGTTTGGGACGACCCAGGACCAATGCAGTGACAGGCAGATACCCTTCAGGCAGGGGGGAGGTTTCCCAACCGTGGCCGCTTTCAAGACAGGGTGGACTTCAACGCGGCTGGCTGGGGAATTCTGGGAGATGAAGTCCACCTTCAAGTGGACTTAAAGTGGCCAAGGTTGGGAAACCCTGCAGACCAAAGACTGTAGCAACAGCACTAAAGTTGAGAGCATTTTTTTAAAAAAACCAGCTTGGCCACAGCAAGACAGTCCAGGAATACTTACTGGTTCCGAATGGTGTTTTATTTGCCCCGTACGAAAATCCCGTGTTGGTGGTGGAGGAGCCGAAGAGTCCTGTGGCCGCGCTGGACGTAGCGGTGGACGATCCAAACAAGCCCGGCGTGGCTCCAGCTCCCACTGGGTTGGTGGGGCCTTTCCTGTTGGCCTGGTAGTCTTCCAGGCGGAGCTCCTGAGGGAGAAAGGAGCACGCAGAGGGTCACCTTCCCCGGGCTCTGACCTTCCAAACGCAGGAAGCGCAGCCTCCGAATGCCCGGGGGTGGGTTCTGGAAAGGGACGCTGCTCCCAAAGGGCTCCCAACTCTGCCTGGCTGTTCTGACCCTGGGTGAAGGTGCAGCTAAGCTAGAACGGGGCTGAAGAGTGGTGCGAATCCCTCCAGCTGGGCTTTATTCAAGCAGAACGCGGAATACCAGGATCGGAAAGGGCTTTGGAGGTCTTCTAGTCCAGCCCCCTGCTTGAGCAAGAGACCCTACAGCATTTCAGACAAGGGGCTGCGCGGTCTCCCCTGGAAAGCCTCCCGCGATGGGGCTCCCAGAACTCTGAAGGCAAATCATTCCATCGATTAATTGTTCTCACGGTCAGGAAATTCCTCCCAAGTTCTGGGCTGCTTCTCCCCTCGGCTCAGCTCCCACCCACCGCTACTCGCCCGGCCTTCTGCAGCCTTCCCCTCCTCTTCTCTGTGGCCACCCAGGGCCCACAACCCTCGCTGACCTCGAGCGATTTGCTCTCATACTCCTTCATAGCAGTGATGCACTGGTGCTTGGTGCTGATGTTGGTGCTGACGCCAGACTTGACCATGGTGTCCGTACCGTTTGGTGCCTGGGAGAGAAACGACAAATGGACTCTTCACTGAAATTGCAAGGAGCCACGCACTGGCGGTGACTTGCGGGCCTGCAAGTGGGCTCCAAGGCCTGAAGGTTTTGACCCAGGACCCGGGAAACCGTGCTAGGGTACCAGTCAGCCTGCAGGCCTAGGTTGCCTTTCTGAGGGTCACTGCATGTGCCCTCTGGATGCCCCTTGCCTTGCTCTGCAGGGTAGGTCACAGCCCCTCCTTGCGGACGGCCACGCTCCCAGTTCTGCCTTTCCTACCTGGAAGGCAGCCTTCATGGTTCTGCTTCTGTCTGCTGCCGTCCTTTCAGATGGAATGTGAGCAGGAAAGCCCCCCCTCCCCCCTCGGCAGAGGCCCAAGACCCCCCGTTTAGCCGATCTCGCCATCTTCTACTTCATCAACTGCTACAGAACCCTCAAGGTTGGCGGTTCCATCCACCCCTTAAAGGGCCCCCTGCCCTACCTCAAGCAATGCCGAGGAAGCACCCCCCACCTTCCTCCTCCTCACCAGAGGCCGAGGCAGAATATTGGGGGGCGGGGGGAGAATACGGCACTGGACAGGGCAACCTGCTCTGGCTGGCAGCCGCTTTCCAAGGTCTTACTCAGCGACCTGCCTCGCATCCTTGGCTTGGTCTGAGGCCTGAGTTGATCATTTCTAGACGCAAAGCCCCCGTTGTGATCCTGCCAGGTGCCTCAAGAGAGGAGCAGCACCACTAGAAGGGAATATCTGAAGCTCGGGGTTGAACCAGGGGGCCTTTTGCTCTCTGAGATCGGCGGCTTTCTTGCAGACGTTTCACTGCCCAACTAGGTCACAACATCAGTGCTGGAAATGGGCGAGGTTTGTTCTTGGTTTATCTTCAGTGACTTGCCTCCTCGCCAGCCATCCACACCCAGCTAAGCAGAGACCCACAGCAACATTAATACTAGACCAGCAAAGCAGCAGCAAACAACCCCCCAATCAAGGAATCACGGGAAAACCCCCAACACCGACCGGCCAGCCCATCCGTACATGAGCAGCCAGCAAACCCCGCACTTCCCCCACTGAGGTTACCCAGCTGGAAGGCCTGCAAGGAAACCATCGGAAAGCACCAAGGACCCCACAGTCCTCCTCCCCGCCACAAAACCCGCCCTCTTCCAGCACTGATGAGGTTCCCTAATTCGGTCATGAAATGTCTGGAAGAAAACCACCGAGGACCCCACAATGAGAGGCACGGCTGTTATTCTCAGGCTCCCTTCTTCAAATAATTTACACCCAAATAGAACTTTTGACAACGTTCGGTATTGGGCATTTTCCAGAGCAGCAAAGTTAACCCAGATTCTCCAGCATACGTTCCTGCAGGACATCTTGACAAGAACTTCCTAACCCTAAATTAAATACTGTCCTGCCGGCCCATATGGAGGGACAGGTGTCTGAGAGGGGATAGATAAGTCAGCCTTCCTGGGAATCGCGGTAAATACGAAGTCTTCTTCTTCTCTTATCTAGGGCAGTGAATGACATCAAGGAAGGAAGGGACTTTGGCAGGAAAGCTGAAATGCGCTAAAAGGGCACGCGGGCAGGGCTTACGTTGAACTTAATCGTGGTGCCAGTAGGGACGGCCGAAAAGCTTGTAGACCCAAAAAGGGAGCCAGATGTGCCCCCAAATGGGTTGGAGGTTGTGTTTGTGGTGCCAAACAACCCTCCGCTGCTGGTGCTTGTCCCAAAATCTGAAAAAGAAAACAAATAAAAGCCATGTCCAAATGTATCAGGGATAAAAGTAATCTTTTTTTTTACACAATTGAATACCTGATGGACCTTGTAACGCTTCAATTCAAGGAGAACTGAGTCACAGATCAGCCTGACCAGGGATGAATAAGCACTCCCTTCCACCCACCACCAGAGATTAAAAGAGAGTCCGGGGTCTTTTATTCGGGGATGGGGGCAATTTCCCTACATATTTGTCTGTGTGTGTGTTGGGGGGGAGGGGGAGAGGAATAAACGAGGATATACGTTCAATTTTGCGCAAGGGCTGTGATCTGTACACTCTCCAGAGTCCCTCAGTGAGGCAAGTGGGCAGTTTCTAAGTGTGATAAATAAATCCTTCCTAATTAATAAGGATATCAACGCAGGTTTTTCAAGCCCATCACTTCGCATCGCTATGAACTTTGTGAAAATAACACACGGAACCCGAAGGAACGGGAAAACGCTTCAGCACATGAACAAGGCGCCGACTTCAGCTGATACTTAACTGGCTCGATATCCGTGCTTCGCTACAAAACTACATGGTGGGGCTTAGTTTTGGGGAAGGAAAATAAAGGGGGAGGGGAATTGTGTCTCTGCCTACCAGCCTCCAGTGATATTCACCTGGCTAGTGTCTTGTCAGTGTGTGAGAGTTGAGGGCTGTTTGGAAACTGAAACATTATTTGCTGTGTGAGCAAGAAGGAGACAGCAAGGAGCCTGGGCGTGACCTAGCTCAACTTTTCTGTATTAAAAGCTGCTTGGTGCTGCTGTGAAACTGAAACTCCTCTGCTTGTGTTTTGCCTTTGGAAGAGATTTCTTTCCAGGTGGGGAGGGGGAGGAGAACTCCTTAGCATCAGAGGGTGTTAATAATAATAATAACATAGGAAATACTCTAAATGCTCTGAGGGTCCTTTGGAAAAATCCTTTCTTAGGGAGCCCCTAGAAGCCAAGAGGAACCTACGGGCTGAATTTCAAGTTTGTAGGCTTTATGGTTCTGGAGATTTTTGTGATGATGCGTGAGGGGCCTTTCGCTTATATATTTAGACAGTAGATAGATAAGATAATAAGATAGATAATAAATATACAGAAGAGAATCAAAACTTTGTCGGAATAGCCGTGTCCCTGCTGACAGTACTCCACTAAAGCTGGCCTTAAAAACAGGTTGTGAGCAGGTGGTTATTATTATTAGTCTTGCGGGACTATTTCTTCCTGTTACACATGTGATCAAGGTCAGGTTCTTGGGCTGGTCTAACAGAGTCCTCCTTGCAGCTGCTGGCCAAAAGAGCACAAGCAGAGTTAGAAGGACAGAGAATTCAGCAGGAGGCTGAACCGCCCTCGCAACGGGGATCCAAAGTGGGAAAGGGAGAGGATGGGATGTTTTACAATATTTCACTTGGTATTTCTAACCGTGCTGATTTTGACTCCTTGACCGAACAGAATCTTCGGTCAATACACTGGTTCACCTATTTTTATTTTACTAGAGTTAGAAAGCTGAGTTGGCTATCAGGATGTGGTGGCACCTGCAGCCAGAGTTGGGGTCGGGTTGGGTGAAGAGACCGGCCAGCCAGGAATCCTTGCAAGGGGGAAGACCTGGGCCCCCTCCCCTAAAATCCTTTATCTGGTTGCTCCCAAGGGAGTACAGCTAGTCGGGCGAGATACTTGTGAATAGGCAACTAGCAATAAAAAACAACCACTGCCTTCTCTGATCAGCTCAGGGTGTTCGTTGTTCTCGTTCCTCGTGCCTAACACAAGCTCTGCGAACCTTAAAAACCTCCATTTGCCAACAGTACCCCTGGCTCCAAGTCTCTTCCCTCAAAGGTGCTCAGGAGTGTCCGTCAGGATTTGGAAGAGGCGGCTCTTTTGCTCAGTGCTGCAAAGCAGAAATGCCTCCCCCCGCCCACGGCATTTCCAAGCTCCTTCAAAGTCAGCCATACTCACTGCCAAACCCCACCGGCTTGTTCTGGGCAAAGGCATTGCTCTGGTTTGAGAAGAGGCCTCCCCCTGTGCTGGCGGTCCCAAACAGGCTGCTGGAAGTTCCAGTGGACGTGCCGAAACCAAAACCGGTACTAGTGGACGACGTGGCCGGCTGGCTGAAAGTACTTGCCCCGAAGAGCCCTCCTGCAACCGAAAAGAAGCCCTCCGGTCAGGCACCCGAGAGGGGAAGGGGAATGCGGGGCGGGGGAACACACCAAAAGGGGAGAATCAGTGTACCTGGCTTGGTCTGAGTGCTACCGAAGAGCCCCCCGGCATTGTTACTGGATCCGAAGGCGGACGTCCCGAAGGCTCCTCCGCTGGTCGTCCCAAAGCCAGTATCTGCAAAGCAGGGAGAGGGGGGGATGGGGGTGGGGAACAAAAGGGAACTGGCTCAGAGGCTGTCAGGGCCACAGCCGAGCGGCAGGAAGCCAAAACCACGTTCAGGCCGGACTGCAGGCTTTTCTTCCACGAGCGCAGGGTGGGTTTGAAGTCCCCTCTTTCTGACCCCCGGGGCTCCAGGGGTGTGATCAATAAAAAGGGCTTTGGATGGGCAAACGTTTGGAGGGCTTACCCCATTTAATAAACAAAAGGTTAAACAAGCAGCTTTTATCTCCCTTCCATCCCGCCTGTATTCACGCTATGCACACAGTCCTCAAGGGGCGACCCCAACGGAGCCCAAAACTTCCATTGCTAAGCAAGACAATTGGGAAGTGAGCTTTGTCCCGCCTTTACCCGCTTTCGTGCCGCAGTTGTTAAGTGAGTCACTGCAGTTGTTAAGTTAGGAATACAGCCATTAAGCGAAACTGGCTTCCCTGTTGACGTCGGTTGTCAGAAGGTCCCAAAAGGGGATCATGCGACTCAGGGCACTGCGACTGTCATAAAATGTGAACCAGTTGCTGAACATCCAAATTTTGGTCTCGAGACCCTGGGAATGCTTCGAGGCTTGTAAGTGTGAAAAGTGGGCATACGTGACCTTTTTCTTCCAGTGCCGTAACTTGAAACGGTCACTAAACAAACTGTGGTGAATTGAGGACCACTTGTAAAGAAAATGTTCTACATTCCATGTTAAGGCTGCCAAATAATGTTCTCCTCTATGTAGTTCACAAAGATAACACTCCATTAAAATTTAGAATAAGTTGTTTCAGCATTTCCATGGGAGAGGAGGCTAAACACAGAATTAAAACCTCAAACCGTCGTTCAAGGAGAGAACGACCCACCTGGGCCAAATGTCCCTCCGTCCTCAGTCACTTACTCTGTCCGAAAGTCGAAGTTGTCCCAAATCCCCCTGTGGTGCCGCCAAAAGGCGTTCCGTAAGATTTATTAAACATGTTGAAGATATTTCAGTGTCTCAAAACCTAGAAAAGAAAAAATAACAACTTTAGACAAACTTAGATTGTCTCAGGAGTCCGTCCGTCCGTCCCCGCCCAAAATTGATAAACTTGCAAATCACTAACCGGTCCCTCTTGCCATCAATGGCCATAGAGTTATGAGCTGATCCCGATTCAACTGGGGGCACTGTGCAAACCCTGGCTACGTGGTTAGTTTATATTTCGGTGTATCTTTTGAACTCAGAAAATTGGGCCACATGAGAAAATGATGAATACATGTGAAGCAAGCTGGATTTAAAAAAAATGTTGGGCATCTTAAAGTGTAAGAGAAAAATGCTATTTGAGAGGACAAAACTGTTCAGCCTACATCTGGCTCAGATTCACAAAAGCATCGAATAACGGACTGCTGGGAGTCTTGGAAATAATGATCATAGGGGACTATTATTAAAAATAAAAGGAATTGTTATAACATACATGGGTAGCTTCACATTGCAATACACAAGGATGCACGTTCAATTTTGCAGCCACTAAGATTGTTGGATGAGAGAGACAAAAACAGCTGATTGATGCCTGAGAAACAGGCCCCCTCCTCAGTCAGCAAGAAAGCTGATTTACTACCAGCGTGTCAAATACTTAGGGAGGGAGGGTTTGGAAGCACAAGAAAACAACAGTCAACAATAGTCAGCCATCAACGCCCCAATCAACATCTAAAAGACACACGCATACACACAACTAGGCACCATATAAATACTACACACAGAAGGAACAGCCCAAAGAACACATTCAGAGAAGGTCCCTGAGGATGGACTCCAGCATGAGTCCGAAAACTCTCTGGTCCTGGTGACGGATTCCGATTGGATGCCGAGCATTAAATTCATACAGAAATGGCATACAGAGTATCTTTAGGGCAAAAGTATTTCCAGAATGTCCCAAATGCTTCTCCTCTGGACTCAAGACAGAAAGAGACCTATGTGCCAACCTCTTACGTTGTAAAATATTCTAGCTTATGATGATGCAAGCAGCTGTATGTCCCATTTTCCTTAGTGCTGTCAACCTTCCCCTGCCATTCACAATGCTCCCCCCAAATCTCAGACAATCGTATTTCAAAGAACCTTCCCACGCACAGCGGGGCCACCCAGATGCTACTAGAAAATGCCTTTATAAGGCACAATGGAGCAGGCAGTGCTGGTTCTTCCCAGCCCAGATTAGACCATCAACCAAGCATAAGCAGCTGAATGGTCCAATTACAGCATGGAAATGCCGGCCTCTGTTCTAATCTCAGCGCAAGCAAGTCCAAAGAATTCAACTCCAACAGGCTGTTGACATCTAGTAAGAGTTTGCTGATGATTAGCAAGAATCAATTTGATTTACCCCAAAATTAATGCAATTAGTAACCAAATGTAACAAAACACTTTACTGCAAAATCCAAAGGTTGCTGATAAAATCTTTGGCCTTTTATATGTAGTTTCACTGCTAGAAAAGCTCAGTTTGATTATGTTTAGCCACGTGGCTAAACTTTTGAATTATTTAAGGCCACAGAATCACCATTAAGACAATCTCAATTTCCTTAGGGTTGCCTGGTAAGAATCTTTATTTCCAAACAAGGAAAGTTGTTTCTGGTATTCTCTAATAGAGAATCAATATTTTGTGATTTTGATTCCAGAATCGGCGAGGTCCTTGGTGCTCTCTGAGCTTGGGTGTTTCCTTGCAAGGGTTTCATTGGCCAACTAAGTAACAGAAGAAACACGCTGACCTTGGCACTGATTATGTTTCCTTGTTGGGTCATGAAACATCTGCAAGAAAACCACCAAGCTCAGAGAGCACCAAGGACTGCACCGTTCAATCTTGACCTACAAATATTCTGACCCAAAGCAGGACCCAAATTGTTGGGGGCAATATGCTGTAAACCGCTTAGAGGGCTGTAAAGCACTGTAAAGCGGTATATAAGCCTAAGTGCTATTGCTATATTCCTTGCAGTCCTCTGGTCGCTAGCGCTCTCTCTGAGAGTCGTTGAGGCCACTTGGAGGTTTATCGGTGCCCTCAGGGTCACCTTTCCAGGGTTTCAAAGAGGGCACCTACAGTAAGGTCGAACAGCCCTCTCCCTCAACAGAGTTCAAAGGGACAGACATCAACTATCTCCTATTTACAACCGGGTCTTCCCAGCAGTCCCAAGAAAGTTCCACACCCCATTTGCGCTTTGATCCGGGTGACCCCGAGAGCGTGGATAAACATCTAGGTGACTCTGGGGGAGAGTGTCACCATCCAGAGGGCTGCAAGCACTATAAATCCTTTCATCCTCCACCATCCAGTCAGAACCAAAGATGCTTCTTGGATGAGAAGGGAAAGTTCTTCAAGGGGAAACCAAGTCCACTTGCCTTTGGGAAAAAGCACCTTCGGGATGGAGGAGGAGCTGGGAGGTTCTGCCACTTCCTGCAGGTGGGATTCCTCTCCGGGGCCTTCCAAGGGCTTCCAAGCTGGGGAACTACCTGGGGGACCACGACCATGGCAGGTCTGATTGGCATCTGGGGAGGGGTCTCCAACCTGGGCAACTTGAAGACTTGTGGACTTCAACTCCCAGAGTTCCTCAGCCAGCACAGCTTGGAGACCCCTCGGTTGAGAGCCACGGGAGGGGAATGGGGCAAGTGAGCGACCCAGTTTAATTACTGAAAGCGACTAAAACTTATTCTAACGTCCGTCACTCCCATGTCCGCCTGTCCCTCCTTTGGCCGCCTTTTCTTGAACGGGTCCCGTGCACCCTTCCTTTGGTATCCGTGTGAAGCGATCACAGACGCCCACCGGGGTGGGGTGCAGGGCAGGTCCTGGCCTCCCCGGCCCGTTAACGCGCGCTCAGCAGCCTCCTCGTCCCCCCCCCCCCCCCCCACCCCCGGCTGGCCGGGCCGCTCAGGTGTGCGAGCCCCGTCAACCCCGGTCCCGCACGTGCGCTCCCCTCGGCCGGCGGCCCCGCCCACTCGCCCCCCCACCCCACAGGAGAGGCGCGCGGCCCCTCCTTCCCCCTCGCCCCCGGGCCCCTCCCCTCCCTCACCACTTCTTCTCCTCAGGGCTGGGCCTCCCGAGGAGAGGGAGAAGCGTTCGGCTCGGGGCCCACGGCCCGGCCTAGCACTCGCTCGCTCGCAGGGGCCTCTCTTGCGACGGAGAGCCGGACGGAGGCGACGGCGGCGGCGGCAGCGGCTCCGCCTCCACGATACTCGCCTCAGCCGCTCGAGGGGTCGCGACAGGGGGGGTGGCGGCGGCGAAACTGCGTCATACACGCACGCTCGACGCTCTTCCGCGCGGGACGTCAGGGCGGCGAGGCTTCCGATTGGCTGCCCCGCGCTGCCTTTTTCCCCCGGAAGCTCCCATTGGTGATCTATTGCCCCGACGTCGGCGCCTCACGCTGGCTTCCTATTGGTTGAGTGCTAAACCCACCTCAAACGTCGCCCCGTCTCCAATCCGCCGCGCCGTCTTTCCAGACGCCCGTCGCCACAGAGCCCTGGGACGTGTCTATTGGCCGGGGAACCGAGAGCCCTGTTGCTGGGGGCTGGGGGGGGGGGGGGAGTCTGGAGGGTGACGTCGCAGGCGTCCCGTGGAAGTGGGCGGGGCCTAAGCGGCCGTCGCGCGCTTTGGTTCTCATAGCAGCCGCGAAGGGGGCGGAGGCGGCGGACTACACTTCCCGGCATGCCCGGGCGGCGGCTGGGCGGGCGAGGCGGCCGGGAGTCGTAGTGCGGAGCCTGGCCGGCAGGTGAGCGGGATGTTGCAGGTGGCGCTGCCGCTGGAGCGCGAGCGGGACGGGGCGCTGCTGCGGGTGCGCTTCACCACGCTGGCGGTGGGGACGGTGTGCTGCCCGCTGGGCGGCTTCCTCTTCTGCCTGGCCTGGGCGCTGCTCTTCCACTTCCAGGAGGCCACGGCCACGCACTGCGGCGTAAGTCCAGCCGGGGGGGGGGGGGGGGGGGGGGGGGGGGGGGGCGCCCCCCCCCCCCGCGCGGCCCCCCCCCCCCCCCCCCCCCCCCCCCCCCCCAGGTGCCGAACTACCTGCCTTCGCTGAGCGCCGCCATCGGGGCCTCCGCGCCGGAGCGCTACGTGTGGCGCCTCTGCATCGGGCTCCAGTCGGCGCCGCGGCTGCTGGTGGCCTCGGCCTACTGGCGCCACTACCGGGGCTACCGCTACCCGCGCCTCTGCCGCGCCGTGCTGGGCCTGGGCCTGGCCGAGAACCTGGGGCTGCTCCTGCTCACCTACGTCTCCTCCGCCGAGAACCACGGTAGGTGTGTGTGTGTGGGGGGGTGAGGGTGGGGGGCCCGCGACCTCCCCCTTCTCGTCTCCTCCCCTCCCCGCTGTCTCCCCCCATCTCATGCCTGAATGCTCCCCCCTTCCCCCCCGTGTAAGGGCGCGACCCTCCCCCCCTGAGTCTCCCCCCTCCCCCCGTATGCTGCTCTCTCGCTCTCACCCGCCCCCCCCAGTATGACCCTCCCCACCCCTCCCCTTCACCAGGTCCTCTCTGCCCCCTCCCCATCACTCCTTCCCCTTCCTCCTCTGCCCACCCCCCAGGGTCACCCCTATGTGCTGCTGCTCTCTGTGTGTGTGTGTGTGTGTCTCCTCTCTCTCATTCTCTCTCTCTACTCCACCCTCTCTGTTTCTGTCTCTCTCTCCACACACACACACCCACCCAGAGGGAAGGAGAAGTCTTTAGGGCTTCCAAGCCTGAATTGGAGCCATTCCAGGGCCGGCACCACCCTAGTGAGTTCCACAGGCCGATGATGAAGCCGCCACGGCTGGTGCTGAAGGCCAAGGCCAGGCTCCCAAGGCAAACACCCGGAGAGACCCGGAGGCCAAGGCAGGAACACACAGGAGCCAGGAAACAAACGCTTTCCCCTCCCTCTGCCTGCAGCCAGCTTCCCCCCACCAAGAAGGATGAGGCTTCTCTCGAGTAAGATAAGATAAGCTTCATTGGTATCTTTTACTGTTGAATGAAGTTCTGTTGCCTGTTCCCCAAAGTATACACATGCATAACTCACGTGTACACATGTTATACATGTACCTACATTCATACGTATAAACGCACATATATATTCATCACGGTCCACCTTGAACGCATAGCAGAAAGAGTTCAAAAGGTTGGTGCTCTATGGAACAGAGCAGTGGCTGGATCTGGATGTTCTGCTGCGGATACCCCGAAGGCCGCTCCTCCCAGGGGGTAACGAGGTTGTGAAGAGGATGTTTACCGTCCCAGAGAATCCTGCGGACTCTGGTCCAGCCTCAAATGTGCGCCATGTCCTGGATAGAAGGGAGTGAGCTGCCAATCATCTTCTCTGCCATCCTCCCTACTCTCGGCCTGCCTATCCGAAGCAGGAATGCTTCTAGACTGGATTATTCCAATGCAATAATTGGGCTGATCTCGGCCGCTCCTGCCTTTTCTCTGCCCTGCGTGTTCTTGGATCAGGTGCAGAAGGCAGTTCCTCCCCTTCCTCATCGCCTACTGGCTGCAGCTGCGTGCTTTCCCCACAGGAAGCTTCATGGCTGTCCTCCTGCAGCTGGGCCTCCGCCAAATCCTTCTCGGAGGCTGGCTGCGCAGAGCCATTGAGCAAGTCCCCTCCTGATGTGCCTGGGATTGGTCCCCCATCCTCCTCCATTACACCCTCCTCCCCATCACCCCTGCCCCCTTGTCTTCCCTCCTAAATGTCACCCTTCCCTGTCACACCCCCTTCCTCCCTGACTGTCTCCCCCTCATCCTCTCTGTCTCCCTCCCACGCTCCCGTCCTTGTCCCCCCCCCATCATCACCTCACCCCCTCCCCCTCTCTGTTTCCTTCTCTTCCCTCCCCCCAACCGTCACCTCTTTCCTTCTTGTTCCCCCTGCAGCCTTCCACCAGTATGCCTTCATCCTCTTCATCGCCTCGGCCATCGGACACATGTTCTTGACCTGCCTGCTCTGGCGGCTAACCAAGAAGTACACCATCAGTGCCGAGGTGAGGCTGGCCCCCTCCCCACAGCTGCCTCCTCCTTTGGGCTCCCAGTTGCCCCTCAGTCCCCTCGGGGTGCCTCTCGGGGTCCAGTAGGTTTTAAAAGCGATCTTTTCCTCTCTCCTGTGTGGGGGGATTCTGCTCCCAGGCAGGCAACCTCCATGTCCGCAGACAGATCTCCTCCCGGTTCAGTTGCACTTCTTTCCCACAAGCCTTTGCCCCCCTTTCCAGCCTCCCCCCCACCCCCGGGTTCATGGCAGTAAGAGGGCAGCGCTGACCGAGGTTGGGTTTTAACAGGAGGACAAGAGGGCTGGGTCCTTTTGCCTGACCTCCGCTGACCTCACGCCAGATAGGAGCCACGGAGCCAGCAGGTTCTTCGGCCTCCTTTTTTCGGGAGGGGCCCTTGTGCCTGTCGCTCTGGGCATCCCCCTGCGAAGAGGCTTTGGCAGCGTCCAGCCCGGTGAAACAAGTTTGATTCGCCATCATTGCGGGAAGCTGCTGGAGGCGGAAGGCATTTGAGGCTGGTGTCCCCGGGATGCTGACCCAGGCTGGGAGTTTTGTCAAGGGCCCCTCAGCATCTGTAGTCCACCCCAAGGGCACAGGGCGCGCAGTGTTTGTCCTGGGAAGAAGCGGCGCCTGGCGCTGAACGGCGGAGGGTTCCTTCCAATTCACTGCCTTACGAGAGCGAGGAAAATCCTCAGGGACGCTCGCACCCCGGCCAGCCCTTCTTCACTCTCCTGCCATCGGGTGGGAGATAGAGAAGCACAGCCAGCCGCGTCACCTGGCTGAAGAACGGGTTCCACCCGTGGGCTGTCAGACTCCTGAACGGGAAATAACCTCATAGTAGGACAGACTTGCAGGACTGGTGCATTGTGCAAAGTGCAATGAGATTGGGACTGGGTTGGGGACTTCTGTCCTCACTGTGAGTTGTGCAGGTGTGTGTGTGGGGGGGGGTGCACAAAGGGAGGCTCAGCCAGTCTCATTGTACACGTGATGTACGCTGACAATAAAGGTGATAGTAACAAATGTTCCCTCAGCCACAGCTACTTCTCCCGCCAACCTCCAGCAGCCTGTAGAAAATTGGTCCAAAATCAGGACTGAGGCCTCTGGGAAGCCTGAGCCAGGGAAGGGGGAGAGTGGGGGCAGAGGGTGTGTTTTTGGACACACAATTGGGTCGGTCACCTGGCGTGGAAGGGAGGGAGATCTAGGACTCCAAGGACCTTGGGCACCACGCGGCCTGGTTTTAGCAAGAGGAGGGAATATTTGCAGCTCAGGGTTGGACCATCATGGGGTCCCTGGTGCTCTCTGAGCTGAGCGGTTTTCTTGCAGGCGTCTCAGGACCCAACTAGGGGACACCATCAGGGCTCGAAGGGAGGAGGGTTTATGGAGGGGAGGAGGAAGGAGGAGGACTTGGGACTCTCTGAGGTTGGTTGTTTCGTTGCAGGCGTCTCATGACCCAACTAGGGGACATCATCAGTGCTAGCAGGGAGTGGGGTTTGCTGTTGTGTGGGGGAAAA